AACTAAAGTGGGAAGGTTTAGATGGGATATTGGGAAGGAATTCCTGGCTGGNACCTGCTCCAGCCCCTCCATGTCCTTCCTGAGCTGAGGGCCCAGAACTGGACACAGCACTCCAGGGGTGGCCTCACCAGTGCTGAGTCCAGGGCAGGAATCACTTCCCTGGCCCTGTTGGCCACCCTGTTGTTGAGCCAGGCCAGGATCCATTGGCCTTTTTGGCCACCTGGGCACACTCTGGCTCCTGTTCAGCTCCCTGTCCATCCCCACTCCCAGCTCCCTTCCTGCCTGGCTGCTCTCCAGCCCCTCTGGCCCAGCCTGTAGCACTGCCGGGGGTTGTTGTGGCCAAAGGGCAGGACCCAGCACTTGGCCTGGTTGAACCTCATCCCCTTGGAATCAGCCCATGGATCCAGCCTGGCCAGGTCCCTCTGCAGAGCCCTATATGCTGTAATTTCCTTCATTGCAATGAAGAAGAAACTTGCAGGATGTGATCTGTGCTGTCCTGGATGAGGACAGCTGTGCAGGATGAGATCTCAGCTGCAGTTGCAGCCAGTATTAAAATTTCCATCGACTTCAGCAGGATGAAGGTTCCACCCCAAGCCAATTTGCAAGACAGATGTGTTTGGGGTGCAGTGAAACTAAGGACAACACTAAATGACACGTCCCTGGCATGAAGCAGCTGGAAGGGACCCCCAACCACCTCCGAGGAGCCGAGGAACAACCATCTCCCCCCGTTACATCACTGCACGTGTGGTACATGTGTCTTAATTTGAAATGATGGCAAAAACTCTCGGGGGAAAAATAAATTCCACAGGGGCAAACAGAGACGCAAACATGACTTTTCCAATTAAAGTCTTCTGAATATTTTGTTCTTACTGGTTTCAGAACCTCCTAGGTACAGTCTGACGAACTCCTAGAAATCGTTTTATGCCCTGATAAAAACTCGGTTGGCTTTTCTCTTGGGTGTATATTCCTGTTTAAATTAGCTTAGTGCAAAGTTAGGATGAGAAAACACCAAGTATTTTCCATCATTAATAAATAGAATATGGAAAGTAACCACAACAGCCTTTTAAAAAAATAGAAAACAGGGAAAGAAATATATGGAGAGAATAACATTGGATAGAACTGGTAAAAATAAAAACTGAGAAGGTACTTGCTTCACTAAAAATAGGAACTATTTTTGATCAGAAAATTGAGATTTCCTCACTTTAACCTGGCTTTTTGACTTGCTTTAATATCAGGTGTTAAATACTGCACCCTCCAAATGGCACTCAGTGTTTAACACCGCATTTCTTGTTGCATTTTCTGTATTTTTCTCATACAAAAAAATTCAGAAACAACCAAGAAAAAAACCAGAAAGCAATACAGGCAGAAGTACCACCTTACCCAGTTGAAATATGAGCCACCAGAGAAAGAAAAATTAGATTTGCTAAAATTCAGTAAAAATGGCAGGTTCTGCAAAATAATTTGAATACCTGCTGAAGTCTTTGTCTTTTTCTTGTTATTATTGTCATTTCTTTCTATTCCTTGCTGGAATTGGGCTTTCATGTCTCGTGAGTTATGATAACTAAAGATATAGGATGTCCCAGATGTACAATGAAATGCATATTAGATTATTGGGATTATAAAAAATAGTATTTATGAAAGTTCATGGGAGAGATTTTCGAAGAAGGAACCTTCTGAAGTCTGGTCCAGGGAGTGAGCCCACTAATCCCACACCTGCTTGTAGGTTAAATACACATTGCTAAGAAATTTAAAGGGTTTAAAAAGCTGTTTGTCTTCACCAAGGCATTGTGAAGTTTGTGTGTTTATAATACAAAAGGATATTGGGAAGGCTTAAAAATTGGGTGGTGTGAAAATGGTGAGGAAATATTTACTGATTTATATCTTGTTTCAAGTACTTTTGGAAAGAGAAAGGGAGAAGAATGTGAGAACATAAATTCACAAACAGTTCTTCTGCTACAGAAAATGAAGGTTTTTTGAGGATTTTTTCTTTTTTTTCTCTGCTATTCAGCCATTCTGCTATAAACAGAAAACAGACCTGTGGGGAAGAGGGGTGGGATTGTGTGGGTTCTTTTAGAGAGGGGGCAAACACACTAATATTTTGATAGAAGTGCTGCCACTTCTTCCATATATCAATCTTTCTCTGGCACAGACCCGAGAAAAGAGTATTTCTTCCAAGCTGTTCCAAGGTATTCCCCAAAAAGAATAATGCCTGCACTAGGTTTCAGTTCATAAATAAATGAACTAATAGCACCTCATTTTGACCTGTTCACATCAAACAGGGAAAAAAAATAATTAGTAGGAATTACTACACGGTTCCAAGTCAAAGGGTTGAAAGTACAGGAGGCCTCTTGAAAACAATGGAGTCAAACAGGTTTCTACTTAAGGTCGTAATTCTGAGCTTTTCAGAGTCATATTAGCAAGAGCTTCTCTGTGATCACGCAAATTAAAACATCTTGTTTTTAAAGGAAAGTTCGTGTTGCCACATTACCTGAGACCCTACAAAAATACCATACCTGTAGGATGGAATGTATTGCCTAGGCAGGGATATGCTACATATGGAGAATCTCTCATTAGGAACCTTATATATCAAAACAGCTCCTTTATGTAATTGGGAAGAATTTATCCCAAATTTATAGAATCCCAGAATGGTTTGGGTTGGAAGGGACCTTAAAGATCATCTCATTCCACCCCCTGCCATGGGCAGGGACACCTTCCCCTGGCCCAGGTTGCTCCAAGCCCCGTCCAACCTGGCCTTGGACACTTCCAGGGATGGGGCAGCCACAGCTTCTCTGGGCAACCTGTGCCAGGGCCTCCCCACCCTCACAGGGGAGA